TTTCACAACTGTGGTGTGTTACTGTCATGTTGGCTCTTAGAACCCAGGTCCTTGTATGTAAATGTCTTGGAGACACCCGATTTCTGGCCATCTCATCCGGGTGATGAGACATACATGAAGGCACTCTGAAAATGGTTGAGTTACCCAGAAGGGTCCAGTGTTCCTTAATGTACCAAGGGGTGGATTCCACCAAGGCTTGGATCATCTCAAAGACTCACTTACTGGATGCCAAACAGATACAGATGCTCTATTAGGTGTCTCTTTGTCACAATGTCTACGTAGTGGGGATGAACAATTAGATCATCTGTCACAATAGCCCTGTGTGATGGTCGTTCCTCACTGTCAATGTGAGTGGATTTAGAATCATCTGAGAGATGCACTTTAGGGTGTGTCTATTGGGGGCATTTCCAGAGAGGGTTAACTGAGGAGGGAGGACTTACTGTAAATGTGGGTGGTACCATCACTTGGACCAAGTAAGAGAAAAGGGAAGTGTCCTGAGCACCAGGCTTCATCCCTGTTTCTCTGACTGACCAGAAAAAGGTGACCAACCACCTCACACTTTCACCATGCCTCCTCCACAATGCCTGTGTCCCCTGAAACTGTGAGCCAAAACAAACCCTGCTTTAAGTTCCTTTTGCCAGGTATGTTGCTGTAGCAACAAGAAAAGTAGCTAGTGCACTATGAAGGGCAAATGCTGCTGCAAGCCCAGTTTTGCAGATGTACAAACTGGCACGGGAGGGGTAAAGAACTTGCCCTGGGGCAAATAAAAAGAGATAGAACCAGGATTCAAACACAATCTGCAGTATTCACGTACTTCCCACCCCTACCCTCTTAATCATTGCCATCCCTTGGCACCCACTGCCACTGCTCAGTTGTTCATTTGCTTACCATGTTTGCTTGGTATTGGCTCTGACGTGGTCCCTAGCACAGATGATTCATGGCAAACGTCCCTTGCTTTAGGCCCTAACTGGGCCACCCAGGCTTAGCCTTGTCTTAGCTGTTGGCTAGCCCTGAGTGTACCCTCACTGTAACTTGGATCACTGCTGTGTTTTGTGTTTTGGTTTTGCTTTGTTTGACACATTAAGGGTTGAATCCAGAGCCTTCACAGCACTCTCTACTTTTTATCTTTAGGCAAGTCTGGCCTTGAATGGACTTGTAACCCAGGCAGGCCTTGATCTTGTAATCCTCCTGCCTCAACCTTCCAAATAAATGGGATTACGGTCTGTGCCATTTGGTCCAGGCTTGAGCCTCAATTCATGTCTCTCCTGGACTCCTATGCTCGCTACCCCTGCTGTCTGTGTTGGGTTTCTCCCTCTGGAGGCTGTCTGACTACTTAATGACACAGTAGCAGCCATCATCATTTGGCACTTGGCACAGTCAGCCTGAGGCTGCTACTCTCAAAAGGGGTCCACTCCCTTGGGAGTTAGACAGCCCTGATGTTTTCCCCCTTCTGAGATAGGGTCTCACTATGTAGTTCTGGTGTCCTAGAACTAACTTTGTAGTTTGACTCTGCCTCTGAAATTCTGGATGAAAAGTGGGTGCTGCCACACCTGACTAACCCTGACTTTAATCCAAGCCTTCACCTTTATTCACTGAATATCCTTGAGCTAATGGGGCTCCAAGCCTCATTATCTGTAATGTTTGAGCTAGCAGCTGTTACAAAGACTGAGGAGGGTAACAGGTAAAGGAGACCCACACCTGGCTGACAAGGAACAACTATAAATAGGTAACCATTAGCATTGCTGATGCTCTTCTAATTCTGACCTGTGAATTTGCATATACTTCCTGTATCTCCAACAAGTCCTTGCAGGACAGAACTTCCTTCCATCCACTGCTCTGGGTCAGGTGCTGTGCTAGGAGTCTTGGAGGTCCAGGAGAAGAGGGTGCCACAGTCTACCATTCCATCCAATGGTCCCACTATGGGTTCCAGAGTCCATGCTTTCCTCCTAGACAAGAGCCTGGGCTGGGGAAGCCTACAGTCATGGAGTAGGAAGGAAGTCAAGAAGGCTGGGGTGAGGGTAGGCTATTTGCTTCTTCAGCTGGGTTAGGAAAATGTCTACTCAAGTCCTATCTAGGCTGGGTTCTGTTACTGTCTGGGGCCACAGAAAGTCTGTACTTGGGGTTGGTAATCCAGGTTGATGTGTCAATGGCTGAGGAAGGACTACTAAATAAAAACCTCTGATGGAAAACAGTCTCTACTGCTGACTGAGGTGGAATCCTGAAGTAATGTGTCACCTGGGCTAGGGCCCTGCAGTTGTCTGTGGAGCCAGTGCACCCATCACAACCGAGATCTAAAGATGGGACCTGTGACCCTCCTACCTTTATCTCCTCAGCATGCCCTCCTGGTGTGCACCACCACAGCTGGCACCACCTTTAATCTGGTCTTGGCTCTCAGTGGGACCAAGAAGAACCTCAGAAAAGACGGACTGAGTACAAGAACTCTCCTAAAGTTGGGATTCCAGGTAGAGCTGCTTCCCTTTCCCTGTCCAGGAGTGAGCAGAAACCTAACTCCCCCCTCCCCACCTTGATAAAAGACAGGATCTAGTGAGGAGTCTTGGATCACCTCTGGAGCGAGCTTGGAGGCAGGGTATCTGGAGGTCTGGGGGCTGTGTCTTAAAGGCATGGAGGAGGAGGGGTGTATGGCTAATGGGAAGCAGGTGAGGGACTGTCTGTGCCCCAGCCAGGGGACAGGCTGGCTGGGATGACCCAGTTGGTGGGAGGACCTGTCAGCTCACAGATAATCCCATGAGACAGGCTCCGGGGTGCCCATTCGTATTCATTATGTGTGAAGTGGGCGGTTGTAAAGTTAGCTTTCTCTTCATTTAGTTGTCACTGGACAGAAAAATATGAGCTGTGGGTAGATGCACCTGGATGGGAGCCAGGAGCCAGCATCCGGCCTTCCTGTGCCCTCCCCACAGTCCCAAGCATTGCCCATGGCCTCTATAGACTCTACCGCTGTTGCTGACGCCATCCTGGCGTTCTCTTCTGCGCTTATTTCAGTTTCCTTTGTCGCGTCTGCCGCGCAGCCTGTGTCTGAGAACGTGTGGAGGGTGTCGGGGATTGACAACACAGAGACTTGTTCAACGATGTAAAGAAAACTTTAAGCAGGCCCCAGAAAGGTTCAAGAAAACTTCCTAAGAAAGGCTCCCACCAGAGAAGCTTCTGCTCTCTCCTCTACCCTGGCTGGTTCTGCCCTGACACCAAAAACTGATCTGGGCGTGGCAGAAGAGGCGGTTAGTCTTTGGACAAGGTCGAGGTCAGGGTGGTTTCTGTGGGCAGGCCTTTTCCAGGAACTTATTGACCCCGGGCATTGTATTGTTTTTAGTAAACATGTTTTTAGTAAACATTGTCTTACAGCTGCCTACTCCCAGGCAGAAGGGGAAGTGGGTCTCTGCTCAAGGTCTGGTGTCCCCACATTCCTTTGCTTGAGTCTCAGAGTCTCTCTACTTCTCCCATTCCATCCTTCTGTCTTTCTAAACCTTCTAAACTAGGAGAAAAGAAATGTGACCATCACTGTCTCTGGGCAAGCACAATGTGCACCATGGAGTAGGATTTCAGCATGTGTTGCTACAACAGACAGCATCTTTCTGCTGGAGTCGCAGACTGAAAGCGGGCTGAGCAGCAGCACGCCTCTGCTTCCCGACTGGACTAGCACAGTGTGACTAGCTGCCTCACACTGCTGTGCTCCCTCCACACAGTGTGAACTGTGCCATAGTCGGTGGTAGTACACATCTTTAATTCCAGGCAGAGGCAGGCAGATCTCTGAGTGTGAGGCCAGCCTGGTCTACAAAGCCAGTTCCAGGACAGCCAGGGCTACACAGAAAGACCTGTCTCTGAAACAAAATAAAATAACAGTAACAAAAAAGCTGAACCAGAATAAGTCCTTCCTGGATTGTTGTCATAACAAGAGAACCAACTAATACAAATAGCTCTCTTAAGAGTCAAAATGTCACTGACCATTCCTTGGATGAAGACATTTCTAGTATATGCACCCTGTTGTCAGATGTGAGCCCCTTACTGACTGGTGGGTAAAAGTCTAGGAGGCTTATCAGTGAGTAAGTAGCTCTAGACAGTCCTTCTCCTGCCAGTGTCAGGGTAGAGAAGGAAGTTGCCAGAAGCTTTCTCTGGGAAAGGAAGACAGAAGGGAGATACTCACTTCTATGGGGATGCATGGCCACCTCATGGTAACTGTCTTGGCTAGGAAATTCAATCTGATGGAGAACTTGTTCCCTCCTTGGGAATAAGACAGCACCGATGTGTCTTCATGCCTGGCTTTCCCTGTGCTTGAAAGATGAGGCGTGGGGTGGGGGATGGCTGGGCTGAGCTGGGTGGAATTCTGAGCAATGTGGTTGTGTTTACTGGGAGGGTGGGAGGGCCAGGCCTGCTTTTTTCCTGCCTTCCAGGCTCCAGAGATAAGGCAGGGGATGAGGGATAGAATGGGTAATACTCTAAAACCACAAGAAAGAGTTCTGGCTTTTGTCTCTGCCCCACAGCTCAGACATGCTCTCGGGGCATCTGGGAGAAGACAGCTGCCCCACCCCCAGCACTTGGGGTCCCAGCCCACAGGCACTCAAAACCTCCACAAGATCCTTGTCCTTCCATTCTCTCCGTGGTCAGTTCAACCACAAGCTTTCCTCAGCTTTGCTCCTGTCCCCACCCCCAAATTTCCCTGCCAAACAAATGAGCTCTGGCGCTTTAGAGCCTCTGGGGACCTGCCAAGGCCACCGATCTGACACAGGTGACAGAGCCAGGCATGGCAGACATTGACCTTGAGGGTTCTGCTACTGCCACTACACCACTATATTACAGTCCCCTGGATTCATGCTTTTCCACGGGAGGGCTTGGCCCAGCCTAGATCATAGACACACGTTAACCCTAAAGCAATCGAGGACCACATGCTGGGGATAGACAGCCACCTAGAATGAAAATCACCACTGTGTTTATTACTACAAAAAAAAAAAAAGCATCTTTACAAAAATCTGGATCCGGGTCGCAGGGCCTCAGAGACTAGAAAAATCTGTTTTATTTTGATCAACATCCAATATGGTTTCCATGGCATAGCCCTGGCCTGATCCCATGAAAGCAAATCCAAATATTTAATGATTGGTGGAATCTTTTCCGTCCTTGGAGAAAATGACTCCACAGTATATTGATAGACTGGGTACGGGGCAGAAAGATTTGAGGGATGCTTGGAGCAGAGGAAACCCCCGCCTTTTATTAAGCTGACCTTTGTCCTCTGGGCACGTGTCAGCTCCGGGCACTTAGCAAACGCCCCCTGGTGGTAGAAAGGCAGAAGCGAGGCCAGCCCTGAGTGCCACAGAGAGAGAGCTCCTCCCTGCTCAGTCTGCATTCTCCTCCCGTCTTCCTGGGCTGGCTCCCCAGACTTAGAAATAGTCTTGAGAAAACAGGGCAGTGTCTCTAGCCCAATTTGAACGAGGGGACCCAGTTTACAAGGAAGTGTCCTACATGCTTTGAAGTCTCTTCAGGGGGTCCCACCTTTTTTAAGAGCTAAGACCCTGTAGCCTGATCCCTGAAGCTTCTCTCCCAAGCTTCTGGAACCACCCAGAACATGGAAGCAGAAGGGTTTGCTGTCCGGTGTCCAGGCAGAGATGGGCGAGGAGCAGGGGAGAGCAGGAAGAGGAGTGAGCAGCTCGTTCTGTGTCCCCGTAACCCATCACGTGGTCCAGTTCAGCAGGCTGGGGGGCTCTTTGGGCTTTACCCTGAGCGAGACGAGGCTTGGGGACTTGTAGTCACCATCTGGAGAAGGCTCAAAGCTGTGCCCTCCCAGGGCAGGAGGAAAGCCATGGATGGAATAGATGCCAGGGTGGGCTGCGGGGGAGGCTGGCACTCCCATGAAGCCAGCCACGTTTCCATGGGAGTGGGAGTATGGAGACATGCATGGAGAGGGGATACCCTCTGGAGACATGAGGCAGGGCCCCCCTGGGCTCCCAGACCCTGAACCGGGCCACAGAGAGTTCTGCAGCTGAAAAGAGAAGGAGAAAGGGGCTATGAGCTGCTTGATCCAGAAGCTTCGTGCCTTAGCCTGATGGCTTTCTTGAAGCCTCCGAAGCGTCCTCGAAGTCTCCCCTAGACCCAGGGTCATCCCTCCTGCCACCCATACTGGCATCCAGGATGTCCCCACCATGGCTTCTCAGAACTACACTTTCTTCCTTAATTCGTCCATGTTCTGTGTGTATCAGAGTGGGCAATAGCCCTGCTCTGCACAGGAAGAAGTTAAAGGAATCGCCCACATCACACAGCACTCAGATGCTGCAGGAGATGCTGCAGCCCCCTCCTCCAGAGCACGTGTTCTCACTGGCTACCCCAGAGGTCAGGGACAAGCCTTGTCGAAGGGTAGAACTGAAGGTCTCACCTGAGGATGGCTGTCAGTTCGGGGCAGCACAGAGATGTCATAGGCAGTAGTGAAAGGGTTCCGCCCCTCCTGCATCTTCCCATAACGCTCACGCTTCCGCCACTTGGCTCTGCGGTTCTGGAACCAGACCTGGGGACCACCGTTGGGGAGGGTTAAGAGATGCCAGAGCAGCCCTGAGGACTGGAGCCTAATGGGTGAGGTAATCACTCAGTCCTCTCCTGGGATCTAGATCCAAGTCAGAAAATCCCAAGAGGCAGGATCATAGAAATCCTCACTGTTCCCAGGGCCAGTGGAGCCTGGGAAGGGTGCCTGGAAGAAGCTTCATCCCAAAGCAGTACTACTGACCCCCAGCAAACATTCCCCAAGATGAGTCATTCTCTTCATCTCCAGCCTGACTAGGTCGTGTCATAGTGTTGTAGGGGAAGGGGACTTGTGGGCCTCGGGGTCCCAGGATACCTCCTAGGCGTGCCAGTGTGGGTGTTATGTGTCCGGTTGCTCCACCTTGTAGCAGCCAATGAACTAAGGCATTCCTACTCAGTCAAGGCATTCCTATTCTGGTCATGGTCCTGTTTAGTCCCTCAGTGGCTCCCTGGAAACCCTGGCCTAGAGCCCATTTCCTAGCAAGGTTGCTTAGGTCTGGCCCTTGCCCTCTCCATAGTCCTATGCCCTGCGAGGCAACAGCACTTGGTTCTTCCCAGATGCCTCCCAAGCCCCCACACACCTCTCTTTTAAGATACCTGCCATACTGTTCCTTCCCTCCTATGAGTAAGTTTCCCCTTCCTGGGCTATACATCTCTTCAATATGTTATCCAGGCTGGGTTCTTCTATAATGTCCTGACCTTTCTCAGGGCACCCATCACAATCTGTGCCCATGCTCTCTTAGGGAACTTACTTCTCATTCATTTAAGAGTTCTTGGCAGGTGAGGGGCCATGTGTCTTATACACATCTGAGCATATATGTGATAAATTTGGAATACACCCGTCCTATTTCATTTACTTGTATTGGTATATATAGTCTTATTTCTTTCATTTGATATTGTGTCAGCTATGGAATAGATGTTGGTAACATTGAAACAAAACTAAGGTGGGTATAATGACACATACCTGTAATTCCAGAACTTGGGAAGTGGAGGCTAGAGGTTAGGTGTTCAAAGCCAGCTTCAGCCTCATACTGAGTTTTAAGCCTGTCTAAAATACACATCTCCCTGCCAAAATCCAAAGTCAAAACCAACCACACACAACCACTGTTTTCTAGGGATCCAGCTAGAAATACATTTTTAAAAGCTGTCTGTGTGTTTACGTGTGTGTAAACCCCACTACACTGTTAGGGATGAGGACCCCCAGTCCTCTGAATTCCTTTGTCCATGGTCACCTCTACTCACATAGGCCAACAACTTGATAACTAAGAGACGTGGATCCCCTGTTCTCCTGTCTTCCAGGTTGCTGGGATTCCTGGGCAAGCCTTGCTGAGGTCAAGAGTGTCCACCACGAATGCCCTCTCCCTCTTCTTCAGGCAGTTAGGCCTTAATTGGGAATGACTTTCCTGTCACCACCATTTCCCCCCAGAGCCCTCTGCCTGGGTTTGGGACTTGCCCTTTCCATTGTCTTAATTAGTCCTCTTCATGAGGTGGGTTTAATGGTGAGAGTTATGCTCCTGTCAGAGGAGAATCTCCCCATTCTCTTGGGCCTTGGTGGTTGGAGAGGCTTCTGGACTGGGTTTGGGAGTCCTATCACTACTACTGTTTTCTTCCAGGATCGAAAGGCCTAGCTAGGAGCTGGGCCTGGAGGCTCATGCTTATAATATGTGTTATTGCCAGCACTCAGGAGTAGAAGAATCTTTAGTTTGAGGTCAGCCTGGGCTGTCAAATGAATCCTGGGACAGCCTAGGTACTAGACAGGATGGACCCTGTTTCAAAATCAACCCCCCAAAAGCTAAAATAAAATAAAAAGGAGAAAGGGGAGACCTAGGAGAGGAGTGAGGGAGGTACTCCTGCCCCACACCCCACACATTTCCACAGGGAAGAACACTTCAGACACCATCCCAACACGACACTCCAGAGATTCCCCGTTGTGGGCTCCCTTAGCTTATAAAATAGGGGGTGGTTCCCAAAGCTTGAAGGATCTTAGCGGACAGTCATAGAGGATAGTTTTAGCTGCCACCTAGATGGGACAGGAAAGCAGGAGGACACAGCAGAGAAGAGGAAACACTCTGAGCCCCTCTGCCTCTCTTTTGGATCTGACTGTCAGGCCTGCTGTGATGACAGTACTGACTTCTGCAGAGTGACCTGTGGGACCCCATAGTCTATCAGAGTGACCTGTGGGACCCCGTAGTCTATCAGAGTGACCTATGGGACTCCATAGTCTATCAGAGTGACCTGTGGGACCCCATAGAGAGCTGCCTCACCCTAGCATCTTTTCCAGAGCTTCTGGAAGGCTCCATCCTGGGAGTGATAAACAGGAGCTTCCCTTCTCCTCTTCCCTCATGGTAGGAGGGTCGGGTTCCTCTACCAGGACCGTGACCTCACCTTTCTCTAGAACCCTAACACCCCTTCCAGTGCCTCCTTCTCTGCCACAGGAGATTGCCCTTTCTGACTAAACCGTGGATCCAAGCAAGGCCACAAATGACCGGCCTTCCTATTGAGCCAGAGTCTTAATGACGGTCCTTTCCAACACAACTGGGCATCACTTTCCTTCTCCCTCTCCCAGCGTCCACCCACCCTTCTCCCTCTTCCTCACTGGCTGGATTCCTCACTCGGTGAAGTAGTGGCAATAGCCAAAGGCCCTGGGGGTTGGTCTCTGTACAGAGGAGCCTGTTGGAGGAGGGAAGGGCTCCCAGTCAAGCCCTAACTGTAAGTTGGTTGTTTGTTGGTTCATGATGAGTCTCACATACCCTTCAGCAACCTTCCCACTCTGGCCAGCCAGCTCAGTTAGCACTGACTTCTTGCAACTGGCAACTCTCAAAGATTCTCTGGCTTGCTACTGGTAAGTCCTTTTCCAAAAGAGGGCAACAGAATCACCTGGTTAGCTAGTACATTATAATAGAGGACTCTGTACAGATACTTGGACTCCAGGAGCCCATTACCTGCAAGCCTATGCCCCAGCATTGACCCAATGATGTATTTCATTAGAAACAGAGAAAAGTCTGCGGCCACAGCAGAGCTGGCATGGAGGGCGAGTTACAAAGGCCAGCCTCCAGGAGGACCTAGCCTCACTTCTCCTAGCTCTTCCTGGATCTGGTCTGTGGCCTGAGTGGCTGTGGCAGCCAGAGAGTCTGGTGCCCACCATGGCCTCACCTGTACCCGGGCCTCTGTCAGGTCCGTGCGTAAAGCCAGCTGCTCTCGGGCATACACGTCCGGGTAGTGGGTTTTCTGGAAGACTTTCTCCAGCTCTTCCAGCTGGAATGTGCTGAAGGTTGTGCGGTTCCGACGCTTCTTGCTCTTGCTCTTGGCCAACTCCATGGTGTCAGGAAGTCCAGGGGAAAGAGGGACTCGCAAGCTGGCCAGGCAGGGGCCTGGGGAGCCTTGCACATTAGAGGGTCCGTCTCTGGGACCCCCTCGGCAATCCACCGGCAGCTGGGGGAAACTGGCAGCTTTGGAGGCCTTCTCCTCAGCTGCAATGGAAAACACAAAAAGGAGGATGGAAACCTAACGGGGGTTTTTGTGGGTAGAATAGAGGGAGGGAAGGAGCATTGAAGCTTCAGTCCCCGCCTCCTCCTCCTTCCCCTTCTCTTCCTCCTGGCAGCCACCCTCCCTGGGAGCCTGGCATTCAGAGGCCTGACTGCAGAGCCTCCAGCTGGGGAGGGGGCCCTAGGGAACCATGTGCTCTGTGGTCTGGGCAGATCTTCTGGGGCCAGAGGGGGTTCATTTCGGGGAAGTGCTCTGTGGTGGTGTGTCCCACAGGGTGTGGAGGTGCCAGGATTGGCGCCACAGAAGGGACTGCCACTCTGGCAGGGCCAAGAGTGGGGGCAGGGGTTAAGGATGGGTGGTTGACATCTCCTACCCCTTCTAGAGGGCTCTCTTGTTCTGGCTGTGCCAGCCTTGGTTCCCAGGCCCTCGGGCACATGCCTCTGCTCCCAGAGCCAGGCAGGCATGGACAGAGATGCATAGGCCACCTTTGGTGGTTTCCCTGTGCCTCATTCTTTGAAGTCCAAGTCTCTGAGGTATGAAGAGCAAACTGGGACAATGATGACTCCATAGAAATCATCTGTCTTCATCCATTCTAGAGTTGTGATGTCAGGGCAAGAACGTAAGCTCCAGAATAGAAAGGTGGAAGCTACATAGGCTGTGCTTTGGAGGAGCTCTGAGGGACCTGTACCACCACTTCCTCTCCCCGTCATCCTCAGCACTGCCTGCCCCTCCTATCTCAGGAGTTTCTGATTGCTTCCTCATCACCTCCATGGCAGGCTGGGAACTGTTCCCAGCAGCTCCACTCTGATATGTTCTCACTCACGAACCCCATATGACCCACCTGGCATGGTGAAAAATAGGTCACCACAACCATCCCCACCCCTTCCCTCTGGAAAAGACCCCCAGCCGTGTCCCATTAAGTTCCTCCCCAACAGTCTGATGGAATGGAAGCCACAAGGATGCCAAGAAGACGCCCTGCTGACTCAGAGGGCCCCTTCTTTGGCCCCAGGCCCATCTCCAACTGGGGGCCTGGCCCTCAGGAGGCCTAGCTAGCTGGCACCAAGAAGCAGTTCCTTCCTGGGGACTTGTTCTCAAGATCACAGCTGTGAGTGTGTGTGTGGTGGGGTACACTGAGTCAGATGACCCCCTAACTGGAAGATAGTTTGGGTAAAGTCCTTTTCAGCTGGAAAGTGGTCAGTGACCTCCTCAGGACCACCCAGGTTGTGAAATTAGCTTCCCATGTGTGTCCTGAAGACCTAGGGCAGCCACACAAGGCCTGGCCTCTGGCTATACCAGCTTGTAGTGACATCTCCTTCATGACCCACAGAGCAATCACACTGCCGTCCTTAATTCTGTTCCCCATCTTCACATTGTGGTTGGAGAGGAGACGGAGTACTATTTGCTAGGAAGGAGGAATCAAAGAAACCAAACTAATTAAGACCTTGTCAGAGAGCACCAGGAGCTTGGAATGGGTCACCCTAGAGATATCATGCCCTCAAAGGTCCTGGCAGGGGAGAGCCATGGTGTCTTGGGTTCTGAGTGAGGCAAGGATGGACTTTAGGCAGAAATGGGCGAGTAGATGTGAGGGCAGGGTCTTAGGAGTGCTAACCCACTACAGAGACCTCTTCTGCTTCCTTACTCTCAGTGCTGTTCCCATAAGAGCCAGCTTGGAGGGAATACTCAGATCGAGGGCCCAGTCACTGGCTTTCCTGATCTTGAGCCCATAAGCTGATGAAGTCAAGAGATCACAGCACAGCAGAGCTGCTGTCCCCACAACAGAGACTAAGGCTGCTGGCCTCTGCTCCTCTCTCATGCCTGCCCCTCTACAGTCTTCTCCAAGAGACAGACAGCTGCTCCCTCTCCATTGCCGCTCCCCTAAAACCTCCCTGGTCTAGCTGGAGGACTCCAGGGACAGGGCCACTTTTTCAGGGCTCCCCGAGCAGCTTCCTGAGGAGTCAGGCCTAGGGAGATGTGGAAGAAATGGAGAGGACCCATCAGGAAGGCAGTCCAGGAGTGGACGGCAGCGGTTTCAGCTTGCCAGGGGAAGGTTGTTCGGTTAAGGAGGGCCCATTTGAGGTCTGAACTATTGTCAGTTACAACAGTATACCGGGGGTGGTCCAGAGAGAGTACTCAAGTTGGTTGTTGGTCATTGGGAGCCTGAAGTTAAGTGTAAGGAGTGTCCTGAGCCTGTACAACTGCAGGAATGCAACTGCTCTCTGTAAGAGTGGAAGCCAGGTAGGTGCCAGGGCTTTTAATGTGCCTACAGGGCTCAGTATTCTTTACCTCTGACCTGGTCTTCGAACCTGTGCATCCCTGACCAGGGAGACACGCATCACAGCCCTACGACTTGCTGTCTCAAACCACCTCAAGCTTGGTTGGTGTGCAGCACCAATCCTGACGGCTCCAAAGACAAGATCCGTGCCATCCACTGTTGTCACAGAATCAGCCACCTGGTTTTCAGCTTTCACGGCAGCCTTGCTCTAAAGTGCGCTGTGTTCTGTCGTTGTCATGCTGGAGTCTCTAAATGAGCCAGTAATCTCTGAAGTCTGGACTGTCCCAGCTCTGACCGCGGCTTTAGCGGAAGACCTTATGTCCGTGTAATAAGCGCCAAGCTCAGGGATGCCAGCGATGGTGTTCTCCTTAGAGGTTCTCAGCCAAGGTCTCAAATTCTCCCCATAGGCCGGGTCTTAGGGCTGTGAATCTCAGCCAAGGCAGGTGGGAAGACCTCCAGCAGGAATCATTTCCAAAGGATTCGTTCCCGGGTCAGAGAGTCAAGCTTAGGCACAAACTGGCAGCCCTGAAGGAGCCGGAAGGAACCACCCCTGCCCACAGTTACTACCCCAGGGGGTGCATGGGTGTCTGGAAAGATAAGGCCCGCGTCGGGAGAAGGGCAGGGCGCTCTCCGCAAAGCGCAGCCAGAGGCAGGCGGGATGCGGATGCCTGCCTCTGGCTCGCTCAAAGCCAGTGAGCCAGGCTTTGAGCGTGCGCAACAACGGGCTCTCAGCAAAGACCAGCCGACGCTCGGAGACCGATAGTTTAAAGGCAGGGTTATTGTTTGTGTGCGTGCGTGTGTGTGTGTGTGGGGTGTACCTTTACTAAGTATCCATGTACAACCAAGACCAGAACCGAGGAGTTCCAGCCAGGGCGTCGTCGTTGAGAGGGAGCAGCGGCCAAGATCCCAGCCCAGGCTTGAGCTCGCTGGATTGTGCCTCCTTTGCGTTTGGCCTGCTCCCCCCAACTCCCCCTCCCCGCACGACCCAAATCGTTAATATTCGTATCTCATTTGTTCCTATTTGCTGTGCGCTACCCCTTTAAAAGGAAGTGTCCTCTTATTTCGTTTGTTCTCTCTCTCTCTCTCTCTCTCTCTCTCTCTCTCTCTCTCTCTCTCTCTCTCTCTCTCTCTCTCTCTCTCTCTCTCTCTCTCTGTCTCTCTCTCTGTCTCTCTCTCTCCTTCCCTCCCTTGTTTTTCTTCCTCGTTTACCCGCTTCGTTCGATCTGCTGTTTGTTCTTTTCGTTCGTCCGTTTGCTCCCTTTCGTTTCTCTGTCCACCTCACTGATTGACTTCACCTGTTGCCTTTGTTCTTCAACCTCTAATCCGTTGTTTTGTTCAACTTCCCCATCTCCCTGCGGGTTGTTGCTTAAGTCGTTTTACTTTCCTTTGCCACGTTTCATTGTGAGAACAGCCGTCGCCTATTTAGCTTTTCGTCATGCGCCCAGTCCCTTGGCTATCCAAGAACCCGAACACTAGGTGCAGGACGCTGTGCAGCGGCGGGGATGATGGACTGTGGGGTGGGTGTTGCCGGGTGCGACACTGACCCAAGCGGGTACCTGTCCCTGGAGGTGTTCGGGCGCTGCGCTGTAGGGATGCCGCCGCCGTCTGGCAGGGATCAGAGGAGCCAGGCCAACTGCTTCTCATTAAGTCCCAACTGTGGTTTTTATCAGGAGAGACTCTTTCAAAAGGCATTAGACGCGAAGCTCTGCGGACTTGCTCATTTCCTCCGATGACCCCAACACACCTCCCGGGCCTCTCCTGCACACTCCCACCACCCGGACCGGACGAAGGCCGGAGCTGCTCGCTGCCCAGACACTACGAGGAGGCTCGTGAGGCGTAGGCGACTGCCGCATGGGCGGATCTCCCGAGATCCAGCTCTAGTCTGGGCAGCGAAATGTGGCAGCACACACGGGGTGGGCGTGGGTGCGGAGACTCTCGTGGGGGCAGCGGGTACAGTGGGCGGCAAGCCATTCAGGCACATTCTCAGATAATGGCACGGTCTGACCCGCCTTAGCACACAGGGCACTGTGCCCGGAGCGGAGCGGGAAGCGCCCTGGGGTTTAGGACTGTCCAGGACCGCTTCCGACGGCTGAGAGGTGGCGATCCGGTGCCGGGATGCCAACTGCAAGGAGAGCGGCCAGACCCGTGGCGGGTAGGCCAGGTTAGTCTGAGAAACAAGAACATAATTATTTGATCTTGACGACGGCCCCGGCACTGAAGGGGATCAGCCACTGCCACTCTGCGGAGCGACTGAGGGCAACGGCAGCACCCTTTCCTCAAGAGGCCGGGCCCGACACGGAGAGCTGGGTAAGTCAGGCCGCAGCCCTTCGCTGAGTCCAGCTTGGCCACCAAGCCGAGACCCGCCCTCTGCGCCCTCAGCGGGCGCCAGACACAAAAGCCGAGCTCTCTTCCCCCAGCGTCGCGGCCCAGTTAGGCTCCCGGGCCCTCGACCCGGTCCCCGCTTCCGAGAGGATGGCAGCAGAGGCCCGGCTCCGGCTGGGCATGATCCCTCCTTTCAGGTTCAGTAGCCTTCGGGGCCGGAATAGGCCCAAGATCGTCGCCAATGAACCCTCCTTTGACCTCCCTCCTCCCGTTGCCGCCGCAGCCGGGGACACCGGCGACTCTGCCGTCCCCACCGCATTGGCCTTGCCTGCCCCAGGCCAGTAGCGATCAAGCGAGAGAACCGTGGGAAATGCGAGACCGGTTCAAGGTTGAGAAGCAGGAAAGTGGGAGAGGGGGGTCGGGGAACCAAGAGGGACCGGGGAAGGGACACCGGGACCGACTGTGCGTTACCTTCTGCGGGGCCCTCGTAGAAGTGGCCGCCGTTGAGTACCGGGGCGGGCCCGAGGTCCTGCAGGTACTTGGCGGGCGGCTTGGCGGGCTCTGGGAGGTAGGGTTCCAGGGGCCCGCAGGCCGGGAAGCGACTCAGCCGCGGGCCGCGGGGTGGCGCGGGGTGCAGGTGAGGCGAAGCGTCGGAAGTCCCCTGGGGGCCTGGAGGCTCGTCCCCCGCGGCCGCATAGGGACCGGCTGCCGGGCCCACGGCAAAAGGCGCGCAGCGCTCAGGGTCCATGCCGGCTCCGGGTTCGCAGGCCGCCGGGGCTCCGGGGCTCCCGCTACCCGCGCGGCCTGTGAGCGCCTGCCAAGGGGGAGGGACCTGGGCTCGGGGGCGCGGAGCCCCCGGGAGCGGCGCGCGCCGCGGGGGGTGGGGGGCAGGAGAGGGGGCCGCGCCTCTGACTTAATGCTGGAACTATCCACGTCACGTGCGGCCCCGCGCGGGTTAACCCCTCGGAGTCCAGGAACCCCCTGATTCACCCCAGGCCGATATCACAAGCAGTTGGAAGAGAGGAAGAGGAAGACAGCTTCCTTTCGAGGGCAGAATCCCCTTTGTCTACCAGTCCGGGTGAGTCCTCGGCTCTGAGCTGCATCCTGAGGCCTGATATCCATCTTAGTGGCTCTTGTCCCTGGGGAGGTGAGGCAGTGTGGTCAGACGCCTTCCTCCAACATGCTCTCTGAGGCCTGATTTGACGTGGTCTGAGAGGAGAGCCCCCTACAGAGGTTGAGTTACCCTTTACCTGGCTCTTTTGCTGGTAACTGGGGATAAAAGCAAGCACACCTCCCTTAGACGCTTGGTTTTGCACGGACTTATGAGTGATTGGACACTGTGGAAACAGCTAAACTAAGCGGGGGCTTGGGGAGCTTGAACATGGATAGTATCATTAATTTGCTGTGGTGCCTTGAACCCATTACTTAGTGTTTTCATCTGACTGTGGAGGTCCTACATATTGGTGATAAGTTCCAAAGCTGGGCAGGGTTCCAGGACTTCATAGTGGCCCAGGTAGTTGTGAAGCAGAAGGATCATTGTCTTGAGTAACATGAAGTGAATGCCTTTTAGAGTGTCCAGGGACCCACTGCAAAGGGGCTCTTTCAGGCCTCCTATTTTGGGCATAGGGAGGGCAGGATGCATTTCGAAGGTGATGAGTCTCCCCAGCCCAAAGGAAACCTGGGATTAGGATATAGTTTAGCTTTTCTGAAATAGAACAGTTATTGTCGTGCCTAAGATTTGGGAAGAAATGCCAGAGGTCCTTTGGACCCCAGTTTAAAGATCCCTAGGTCTGGGATAAACCATTTATATTTTTAGTGCCCCTGGAGATTAGCGAGAGGGGTAGGGAGTCCAACGTCATTTGTATTTCATTTGAATTCTCAATTTTTAAAGGAATCCAAGAGGCCTGGTGTGAACACCTCCCTCTTCCGTTGGAGGCTTAGAGGGGGTTTCTTGGCTGTCCTCAGCCAGAGTTGGGCTGTAAATCAAGGCCAAACAGGAACCAGAAGCCTTGCATCTCACAAGGAGTCATTAAGCCATTATTAAGCATACCATAACTTCTCTGAAGCCTTATTGGCTTAAACACCACATTGGAGGCATTATGGCCATTAGGGCCCCTAATCACAGACTGGGCAGAGATGGGAGCACCTGGGGCTGCTATTTCCAGCTTGAGAAGCTTGGCTCAAAATGAGGTTTTCCCTCTGCCTGTGCCAGAGGGGAGTCCCTGGCTCTCAGCTGTGGACACCGTTGAATTGACTATTAATAAAAGTTTTCAATACTTGTCAATTGGATATTGTTGACTGTCTAGGAAGATGTATCATTTCAGGACATCCAGTCCACCAAGTTACCAAGCAGCTTAATTTGGAGGATGAAAGGGCAATACAAGAAAAATGTCACCAACAAATTAAAGAAGACAGGCAGCATTTGCCTCAGTTTTCTTGTCATAAAAATGGGCCACACACATATGGAGATGGAGTATTTGAGAAGCACTTGTATTTTGCTATACTGTGCTAACTTAATGACAATGATGATTTCTCCAGAAAATGGGAACCAGCGTTTCAGGGTTCTATCACTGAATCCTCGAATGGCCCTGACACTAGAGCTAAACAAAGGATTCGGTGTCCCCACAGACCCAAGCCCTTCCCAGCCCTAGAGAGTCCTCCTGACACTCTTTCACTCTGCATGGAGGCGATTTCCATGCTGTAACCTGTTACTGAGGGAACAGGAAGGCCCAGGTGACAACTGACGTTGGTGGGCTTGCCTCTTCTGGAAGGGGTTTCGCCTAGAACTGTGGAGAACAAGAAGCCCAGAGGCTTCTCCTGCTCCCCTTTAAGTCACTGGTCTAAGTGCAGGCCTTTGTCTCCTGTTGACAGCAGCCTAGTGACGCAGGTGCATAGATAGCACAGGAGAGCTTCCAGGCTCTTTTTTTCCTGCCTAGATAGCCTAGATCTGGGGAGCACCGGGAGACCCAGAAGCCCTCCCCTCACACGTATGCATGTGCACAGTGTGCTGGACGTAGCTCACTTATCCAGCATATACGAAGTAGGCACCCTGTTTTGGCCACCTTTACAGCGTGAGAGCTGTCTGTTCAAGGTGGACATAACTGGAATTTGCTCTCAGATCCATTCTTCCCACAAGCTCTCTATTCTTGTTCAGCTAACAAAATGAGGCAGAAATCATTTTTTATACATTCCAGATGAGCTTCATGAACACCAATTGGCACCCAGCTATGGTGGCCAGAAAAGGCAAGGGAGCGCCGAGGGGGTGGTTTCTGCTAAATGGAGACCAAACAAAACAGTGTCTAACACCAGAGTGGGTTTTTAAAGACTAATTTAGATGTGGGGCAGAGTTTTAAAAGGATTCATGAATTCACTGTTCACACTGAATTGAATTAACAGCATTCAATTAATTCAACCATTGAATTAATAGCATTTGTCACTGATCCATTCTCAACAAAGTAAGAGAGGAGACCAGAAATGACCCAGAGAATTCTAGATCCTGTAATTAAAAAGCAAACAAACAAAATCACCTTATGTAAAAAAACACTCTCCATTTGCTAAGTAGAAGTTTAAAAATGGAAATGGCACTTTTATTGACGAGTGTTTAATTAATTCATCTCTCGGGAGGGCCTGCTGGTGACAGCTAACTGGTTCCAGGATGCAAAAGGTATCCTTGCCTGCATGGGTCATTCACATTGAGGCCAACTATCACTTGGATGTGAATGAGTGTGGGTCAGTCCTGGCTCCCAGCCCAAGTCTAAGGTCAGCTCTTCGATTAGGGAAACAACAGTTGCAGCTACCCTTTCCCTTTACTTTCTCCATCCCTCCACCTCTACCCCATGAAGTCCAACATCCTTCCATGAATACCCAAAAGGAGTCAGAACAGGGGTACAAACGGAACCCCATAGTTGAGGTTTTCTTAATATATACAAGACTGCCTTCCAGTTGCTTGTCTTTGCCTTGGAAAGGAAGATAGTCAGCATTGCCCTTGTTCTGTTTAGACGCTGAAATCCTAAATTGACCCTTATGAGAATTCTGGGTTTGGGAGTCTGAGTGGATTGTTTCTCATTAGCTACATTCTTCCTGGAAGGTCAGGCTGAGGAATGGTAAATAAACCTAAAGATCCGGTGTTCCTCACCCAAGGATGATACTTTTAAGAAAGGTTTGCACTGTGGGAACCAGGATCCTTGACTAGGTTCTAACAATGTAGACTGGATCCTATGCTCCAGGATGAAATTTCTGGGAAGTTTCAGGACTATTTTTCCTTCCCCATCAATTCAATGTGTTTAACTGAAAGGCCGCTTAACCTCTCCATGCCTAAGTTTCTACACTACAAAAGTGTGAGGAATGGTTCTGCAGTCAGCTTTCCTGGGCTGGGAGAGCTAGTGTTTATACAGATGTTTCTTGAGCCTAGATCTACCTTTGAACACACACACACACACACACACACACACACACACACTTGCCTTTATCTAACTCACCAGGGTTAGGGTGGAATGAGAGGAGGGAAGCAGAGAGGCAGAATGACTGTAGTGTGGCTGTATCAGAGGACCTGAGATAGTACTGCTGACTTGTTTTTGTGCGAAGATAAGTGAATTATCTAGCAAGTGCCCATGTGGACCATGTTGCCGCTTTGTGGAGGGGTTTTATGAACTCATTCTTGGTATAAAGCAGAAATGGGCAGTGTTAGACTTTGGGGGAAGTTCTAACACCTTGATTAATCTTATGCAATGATGTGTGCTCATCAGACATGGCGGAGAGTGGGACTGTAAAGAGGATTGGGCCAGAGACAGCACTGCTTCCATCCAGGGCCTTTTTGGAAGAGTAGGAGAAGGATGCAAAGCACTAGGCTTTTATCTCACAGAGCGTGACTGCTCAGGAAGCTGTATGGGACTCACAAGACACATGCCTAACCCAGCAATGGGGACCGCAGGGGACAGGTGGTCATGAGGTACTGTAAGGCTGAATCTAGAGAGTAGGGTGGGGGTTGCCCAAGGTGAATGGGGGGCAGGAAGAAAGGGTATCCCAGAAAGAGTAGCTCCTAGGTGAGAGAGGAAGCCATTTGGGGGAAACTCAGACCTCAACATTGCTGGGCCTAGCTTAGAGGAGTCGTCCACAGAATCTAGAGATATTCCAGAAAGCAGGAGGTTCCAGGGGCATCGGCTTAGTCTCTAGTATCTCCTGAATACAGCTTCAAACACTGTCTTCATCTATAGGAGGGGGAGAGGAGAAAGCCCCAGTCCTTAGGAATTCAGTCTACTCCAAGAGGAGGGGGGCCCAAGACCAGTGCCCAGACCAGCAGGCACACATTAAGTCAGCAGAGAAACAACAACGATAAGAAGAGTGAGAACAGAGAGCCAGAAGACACACTCACAATGGAAGCCTTGAAGGGGAGAGATGGATAGAAGGGTAGAGTGTGTGATGTGGGCTAGGCGGGTCCCTCTGTGCAGCCTTCTGTGGCAGGATCCTGGCTCTCACAGAGAATGCTGGCTAGGGCACCCCTTGAACTCATTTCAGCAGGAAATCCATTGGTTCCAGAGTGCAGATTCCAGATTTGTTATTTTATAGGGCTAATAAGTATGTAATTATCACATTTGGGGCCCTCGGAAAGAAATGCAAACATATACCCCTGAACACCCTGAGAAATGTGAGTGAACTTACCCAAGAGTTCTTGAAGAAACTCATCACCATGTCTTGGGTACAGCCACTCCAGGCCAGCGTTCGCCAGGAATGAAGGGAGCGAGAGCTGAGACTGGGTTTGAACTTTAAAAGGAATTAGGAGGGACACAGGGTGTCAGGTATAGAAGAGGCTCTGCCCAGCTTCCTCGATTGCTCTGGACTATTTGGAAAGGAGAGGAAGTGAATGGTGATACCACATCCATTGTTTATAGAATACCTGCCGCATGTCAGTCAAGCTTAATCTTTACAATGCTATAAACTTAGTGTTGGCATTCCCATCTCACAGATGGAGAAAATGATTTAGAGCTACATATTATCAGTTATCTATTGCTGCATAACAAAACATCTCAAAGCTTAAAGACTTAAAGGTCGGTTGCCTGGGGAGATACGGGTACTATGGGA